GTCTCTGGTGAGTCCTCTCACCCCCTGCACCACTGGCCTATACCCGGTTCTTGTATGCATAAATAAATAAATCTTTAAAAAGTTCCAAATAAGGAAGATACAAGTGAGACCCTGGCCACTGAGACCTTCACCATTTAGCGGTAACCAAAGACATTGCTGCAAAGGGAAAGCGCTGACTTACTGGCTCTGTGTATTCTCTCCCGAACTTCCATGTACTCCTGTTCATGCTTGACAGCTGTCATTGCCACTGCTAGTTCATTAATCATTTCTTCTAGCTTGTTCTGATGAGCTACAAAAGAATTTGAAAACAGATCAACACATATTTGGCAATGCACTTTTGAAAGATACTTACAAAGCAGTAAAAATAGTCCTCAGAGAAGGCATACAAGAGAAGCTACTTCTAGTACTGGAAACTGGACATCAGTGTGGACCAACATACAACACTTAGAGACAATTCTCCAAATATGTTTAAGTCCACGCCCAGTATTTTAAGATAGGAAACATACTATATAATGTTTACTAACTGAAAGAAAACAACTTAAGAAACTTCCCATGAAGCACTTCTATATGAACCTCACTCTGCTGACTTGTTAAGCAGAGTGCTCTAAAGAACATAAAACATAAAACAAAAACGGCAGTAATACCCTTATAACAATCCTATAAAGAGCAGTATTTATTTTTGTTCTTTTTTTCTTTTTTAAAACAGTATTTAAACTAAAATCTAAATCTACCCTTTAGAATCATATAAGGATGCACAAGGTTTAAAACCAGGTACTTCAGCAAAAAAATGAATACAAGGCAAACAGTTCTGAAGAAGCGGATGTTTCTAAGTATTTTAACATGACAATGAACAAATAAGGAGGAAAAACATATACAATAGGGGAAGAGTCCCATTGAATGGGTGTCTTCACCACTTCCAAAAATTTAGGTAATTCTAAATTTCTTAAGAAATGCCAAGCATCCCTACCATTTTAAGGTAGCTGGGCTGGAATTTCAAATCACCCCGTACCAAGTTCCCTTCAAAAACCCATCATGCACTACATGAAGCGTCCAGAGAGCAGGGATTCTCAGTTGACACTGTGGACCAGATAACCCTGTTGTGTGCCATGGGATGCACTGCAGGGTCACCACCCAGCCACGAGAACGACAAATGTCTTGTCCTCACTGCAGAACCACCGCTCCAAAGGAAGGCCTCATCTAACAGCTGTCAGTCACTGACATTAACAAGCAAAATCAGGAATTTTAGATATTGTGTTAAAGGATTAAGAACAATTCAACATTCACATTCATCAGCCACATTTTCTAACAATTTAGAAAGAGCTAATTCCCAAAAAGCAAAAGATACAGCTGGGTGTATACACAAGAATTAGCAAATTAACAGAACAATGCACACATGTAACCTACATGCTTGTAAGAAGGGACAAAGTCCTCCAAAACTCCTAATTCTCCTTGAGAATTAGTCAACTCCTGTAAACAGTCCTGAAAGTGGGCATCAGAAATAATAAGTAGTGTGACTCCAAAATTCTACAGATGTCAACAGTTCACCTACTTTTTGATAGAAGTACTCTACAAACTGCTCAACATCTAGGGCAAATGTCGTTATGCTGATATTATGAAATATGTTCAACTGCTACTTTCCAAAAATCCTGACACAGTGGTTAACAACATCAACAACAAAATCCAAATGAGCTGGCTCCTGTAAGTAACTTACCCAGAAGAATCAATTCAGGGTTCACTGCTTGTCAGATGTGGAAGGAAAATTAAGCTAACTGCAACATATGGCTGACAGTTTTTGTCACCTTGTCTAGACAGGACTCCTAGAACTGCATTTCATAGCCAACCAGTTTCAAGAGAGACAATGCAGTAATGATGGAACACGTCTTCTTCCTACTAAGTCAACAGCACTGTTCACTACTAGCTATGTTTAATGAAGACTTACTTGTCCAGTTATAGTTCAATCTTTCTACCCATCGGCATTCATTTAATGGATGTTACCACTCAAATGTCAATCGCTGTATTCCCAGTGCTGTTAATTTAAAAAGACCTCATCTATATCTCCTGTCAACCAAAAGAAAAAAAAAAAAAAAAACCCACAAAAAAATAAAACTAATCACTACAAATCTAATCAATTGTATGATTTATTTTTTAATTAATAGAAAAGGCACTCTCATGCTAACAAACTGAGGTTAGAAAGGAAAGCAGAAATTAGATGGCAGCAAACAAAAATATCCAAAACAAATCAGGATGCTATCAAAAGGCAATCCACATACCATCCCAGGTATCTCCACCACCTAAAGGAAAGTGTAAGATATAAACACACACACACAGAAATTAAAGTTTAGCTAAACTAGTCACATATACAAATAAGCAAAAAATATATATTTACCTATATGTGTGTATATACCAGGATTAGCGAATTAACAGAACAACCTAAGTCACATATAACCTAGACGTTTACAAGGGACAACTGCAAAGAACTAAAATAGAAACATGAACTTCCAAAACCTTTGTTGTTAATTACGAGATTTGAATAAATAAAATGTGTATTTCATAAAAGGTTTGTGGTTTTAAAGACATTGAGTAAAGTCAGAAAATAATTTCAAATAAATTCTCCATTCAGCTGGACAAAACGTACACAAGTAGTATTGAACCTCGGCATGTAACATCAACCTGCCCAATGCTCGTCTCACCTTCTGTTTCCATGTCCTGTCCTTTCGGGGCTTCCCCAATATCAATGGTGAACATGACGATCTTGGGGGTCATGGTGGACATCCGATTGCTGAAACAAAACTTGTATGTTCCATCCATATGAGCGGCAAATGTGTATTTCCCACTGGACTCCCGGTCTCCTTTATAAATTCCTTTATTATCAGGCCCTGTAATCTGGAGACAGGAAAAAAAATGACTGAGACATCAAGAGAGATGAAAATCATAAATGTTCTAAGTGAGTTCTGTGGCAGCAGGGTATTCACTAAGTGTAACTTTCGCTGCAGTCCCGCAGGCAGGGAACAAGGGTGGACCCCACGGTCTCTCAACTCTTGACTGTCCTCTTTATCCCACATAAAAATAAACCCCTCAAAAATAGAAACTACACCTTACACTGTTTCCAAGTGGCCTAACACCACCCCAGACAGGTGGGCATGTGCCTGGTAAAATCAAAACAAGAAAAAACATGTCTTTAAAACTGAGAACGTTGATTGCGCTACATTTTCTGGTTGACAACTGCCAACGAGTGAAGGAATCGTCTTATCTGAGATGACTGGACACTCAAGGGAAAGGAGTAAACTGGAAATCAGGGGACCAGGTTCTCTTAATGGTCGCCTACAAGTCAGCTGGTCGTCCAGTCACCTTAACACTTCCGAGACTGGGGTAGTGGAGCTCGAGATTTTAGCTAATTTTTAAGTCACTGCCGCCATGCCGCCCTTATTGTTGGACCTCACTTGTTTTGGGTAATCTGCACTCAGCTCTGCTGATGTTGGTCACCCCTCGGAAAACCCTTAAACCCTGTAAACGAAGCTGCCAAGAACATTCAATTAATTCCGTCTGGTTTCCGGAAAGCGGTACAGGCGAATCCTCCTTCTGTTTTAAAAGACATTCAGGGGGAAACTCAGGGACAGACAGCTGGTGGCTTCTTTTCCCCAAATACTTCGCGGCAATCGTTACCCGCAAAAGGCACGACCCCACCCCACCCTCCCCTCCCCTCCACGCCCCTCTTCCTAATGGCTCCACGACAGGCCCGGGATCGGCGTAAAGCGCGTGCAAAACGCTCAGCTGTCTCTGCGGGAAATACACCCCCGCGCGACGCCCGCCGAGTGTCCCTCAAAAGTTTTCGGACCCCCCCAGGCCCCCCGCGCCCGCGCCAGCCCGCGAGGGGACGGGCGGCGGGAGCTGCCCCGGGCGGGTCCTGCGCCGGCTGAGCGCGCCCCGGCCCGGGCTGACACGCGGCGCCGGCCCCACAAGGCGCGGCGAGCGGCTCCGCGGGGCACGGGCCGTCGAGAGCGGCCCCGGGCCAGGCCCGGCGACCCGAGGGGGCCGCCGCCGGAACCCGGGGGCGCGGGCCGTTGGGGGTCGCCGCGGCGGGGCGCGGCCGGGCCCCTCGCAGGCCCGGGGCCGCCGCGGCCGGGCCGCGCCCCGCCGGCTCCGCGCGGGCCCCGGGCGCCGCCAGCCCCTGGGCGGCCGCGCGCCCCGCCCCGGCCGCGGGCAGCGCGCCCGCACCTCCACGTCGATGTCCAGGAAGCCGCCCTCGGCCACCTCGAAGATGAGGCCCATCTTGGTGCCCGAGGTGACCCGCTCGAAGAAGCACTCCTCGGCGTGCGCGTCGATGCTGACGAAGTAGCCCGAGGCCGTGGCCAGGAGGGCGGCCACGAGCACCAGCAGCTCCGCGAGCGTCACCATGGTGGGGCTGGGCCGAAGCCACGTCCGGGACTGCGGCCTCCAGCGCCGCCGCCGCCGCCACTACCTCCTCGGCCGCCGCCGCCTCAGCTCCGCCCCTTCCGGCTGCGCCACCCGCGGGGGCTGATGCGGGCGCCGCGGATTGGCTGGCGCCCGCCGCCGCCACGTAACGGACGCACGGCGGCCGCCGAGGGACACGGCGCCTCCGCGCGACGCCAGCCGAACGGTGGCTCGGAAGGGCCCAAAGCCCTCGCCCTCGCCCGCCATTTTGAGTGCGACGTGACTGTCACCCGGACCGCGCCGGAAAGCGACGCCATCGAGAAACCGCCTCTTCCCGGGGCGGGGCCCTCCGAGCGCGGCCCCACAAGTTGGCGAAAGATCTGGAGGCTGCAGGAGTGGCGGGGCCGCAGATGGGGGCCGCTTAATCTTGGCGTCTGCGCCCCAGGCCCGCGAAGGCCGGCGCAGCTCGAGCGCTTCCCGCCCGGGCCCGCGGCCGCCCCCGCGCCCCAGCCCGGCCGCCGCCAGAGACTGGCGACTCCGACAGAGTTTTAAATCGCGCGCCCTCCGAGCGCGGGGCCGGGCACCCTGCACTGTCCAGGCCGCGCGGGCGCTGCCCTCGCCCGGGCCGGGGCTGCCGTTCGGAGGTGCCGGAGAGGAGTCGGCAGGCACCCCCTTTCAGTGAAAAAGTGAAAGTTCTCGACTTAATCGGGAAAGAAAGAACGGGCGAGTGCTGAGGGAGCTCGGTTCGAGGCTTCTGTCCGTGAAACTATGAAGAGGGGAAACGAAATTCGTGCTAGTTCTGCTGAGGCGGCGCGACAGGGGCGTGGCTGGGACGGAGAGGGCGTTCCTTTGTGGGCGCAGGACGTGGAGGGAAAAGGTGTCCCCATGGATGACAACTTGTTAGGCCAGAAAGCTTTGAGCCGCTGTGAGGGCTTGGGCGAGGGGTCCCCTGACTCGGCCTGGCAAAGCCGCTCACTGCTGATAAGGGATGGCGACACCGGTCCTGGGCTGAGAAAGACACACACTGGAGAGGCTGCATCTGCCGAGGAGGTGAGGAAGTTCCCAGAGGAGGTGAAGAAGTTGATGAGGCGAAAGTGTACCTTCCAGAGCAGGTCTTCAGTTGTGATGAAGCTGGGTTCTTCTGGAAGAAGATGCCCAAGAGGAGTTACATTCATAAAGGTGCCAAAGAGGCCCCAGACATAAAACATGGAAGGACGGGTTAACTCTGGTTCTGATGCCAACACTGCGGGCACAGGCTGGAGCCTCATGTGGTGGAGGAACCTAGGAAAGACCACGGAGAAGTGTTAACAAATGCTGAATTGGAAGCACTCATTGAGGCACCTGCAAAGAAAGAGGAAGATGTGGAAGAAACTGAAGCAGCACCAGCAATGTGGACTTTACCGTAATTTGCCAAAGTGTTTCAAATTGCACAGACATTAAAGGATGAAATCATGGAATACCGTCCTTGGACTGAACGCACCATTAAAGTCACCCGCACCATCACCCAAGGATTACAACCTCTGCAGCAACACTTTGACGAGTTAAACAGACAACAGCTTCCCATTACCATGTTCCTCCAAAAGATACCAATCCCAAAAAACAGCTCTGGAGGACCCCCAACCATCAGCATCATCCACTCCTGACATGCAGCCATCGATGTCCTCATGACTGTGTGATCCAGGATTGCCTGAAGCAGATGACACTTCTGACAACAGGTCAGAAGGTCAGTAGGAGCCTAAAACCACAGCACGATGCCTATGCCGTTCACCCCACATCACCTCCACACCTGGGCGCTGTGTCATCACCCGTCATCCCAAGAAGGGTGAGTACCACACATTAAGATATTTTGAGAGGCCACATTCACATAACTTTTACTTCAAAGTCTATTGCTCCGTGGCAGCTCCATGCAACTTGAGCTACTCGGTGGGTCAGATAATCCCCAACTGTTCCTAATGTATAAGGTAGATTTCAGCATAGGTCTGCAACTTAGTATATACGGGCTGGCAGTCTTTATGGCTTCGGGCATCCACTGGTGGTCTAGGAACATATCCCCCAAGGCTAAGGAGGGACCATACTATTTTATAGACCGAAAAAGAACCCAAAGGAACCTTCTGTGATGTTGGAAAAGTTTTATATCTTCACCTAAATGAGTATTTTTTAATCAAGACGCTGTATAGGGCCTCCCCCGTGGTGCAGCGGTTGAGCGCTGGGTTGCGAAGCTGCCCGCAGCCTTTGAGGCGCCGGTTCGATCCCCGGCTGCTCCCCGGCCACCGGAGGAGGGTCCCACATGGCGCGCAGACCTCCCCTGCCGCCCACTGCTCCCCTCAGCAGTGTACTTCGTTCCTTCTGCCTGCTCTGCTCCCCGCTCTGGCTCTGGTGAATTCTCTCACCCTCCCGCGCTTCTGACTGTACCCAGTGCTTGTATAAATAAATAAATCTTTAAAAAAAAAAAAAAGACGCTGTGTATTTAAGACTGATACTCCTAATTTCTCTGTGTATATAGTGCATGTCTGTGAATGTGTGGAACACATCGGAAGAATTTTTCCCTGAGGCCCGTCCGGCAATAGGGGGCAGTAGTGGTCCAGTGTTCAGCTCTGCTTCAGGTGTGGAGAAACGTGCAACTCCCAGCTGGAAGCTCCCAGACCATGAGCAGGTGTGACTCTGTCCCCTGAAGCCCCACCTTTCAGACTGGGGCAAAACCCCTGCTTCTCCAGCACCTCCATTCAGTCGTGTTATTCCAGGAACGTCCCTGTGCTGACAGCCTGCTCCTTCACACTCCCCAGCCCATTTATGTGCCTGTTTCCCTGGGAGGTCTCTTCTGCTTACAATACCCACAGAGGTTTCCTGTCACAGTGAGGGAAGCTGACGGTTACAGCCTTTGGGAGCTCCCAAGCAACCCAGTCCTGTAAAAAAAAAAGGTGCAAAGAACCGTGGGCTTTTGTCCAGAAATTAATGTTAATGTTCGTTTCTGAACTGACTCAATATTCTGACTCCACCGGCAGGGAGTTAAGATACGACCATTGGGCATCTCAGGGGACCACACGCATGGCCTATCGTGGGGGTTTTATTATATAAATCAGGGGACCCGAATTCCAGTGCCTTCAGGGATTGGGTCATTCCTATGAAGGAGGCACAGCACTGGCTGGAAGCGTTAGGAGTGGGAGCTGGGAGGCCGTGCTGAGCGCACTCCACTGCTGAAAACATTGGTGGCTACAGCCAGCGTGCAGCAGAGGCATCGTACGTTTGCTGTTTATATTAAAAAGGTAATCAGGGGCCTCCCTAGTGGCGCAGGGGGTTAAGTCCCAGCACTATGAAGCTGTTGGCAGCCACTGCAGCATGAGTTCAATCCCCAGCCAGAGAGCTAAGCTACATGGCGCAGCAGACCTCTCCTGTCTTCCCGCTTGTACCCTCAGCGGTAGATTTCAGTGGATCCGCCTGTTCTGTTTCCCACCCTGTCTCTGGTGAATCCCCTCATCCCCCGCACCTCTGGCCTGTACCCCAGTTCTTGTATGTATAAATAAACAAATCTTTAAAAATAAACAAAATAAAGGTAATTAACCGTGTGACCTAAAAATTGGACAAGAGGCCAGGATAGCTTTACCCACCGAAATCTGAAAAAGAATCCGTGTCAACAACTTGGCAGATTTTCTCCTTTGTCCGGGTTTTTCTCGGTAGCTGCTTTGTCACAATTACTCATCAGGTGTCTCTCAACAGTGTTTCAGGCTCTGAAGACAAACACATTCAATGACCGCAGACTCTCGGGATTTGTCAGGTCACCCCAGGAAATGTGCCCTTGCACAGCCCTCCCCACCACCAGGCGTGAGCTTGGGAGCCACGAACACAGCGCACGGCAAACAGAGACCATGGCCCTCACCTCTGGCGTCGCACCCAGAACCCACCGGGCGGCCCTCAGTGGTCAGACTTCCCCTCCCTCCTCGCTTCATGGAGACACAGGCAGTGGTTTTAGCGCATTTGCAGTTGCTCACCGCTGGCACTGAGCTTCAGGAGACCCTGGGCCCCGGCGGTCACCCCTCCTGGCCTGGCCACAGCACTCTGCTTCCCCTGAGCATTTGGGAGGGCGTCCTGCTCTGCGTGGCCCGTGACCGCACAGCGGCATGTCTTCACCCCGCCGGGCCCATTGGTGGCTGGACCCGCGTGGCCAGCCCCCTTCCTGCTGACAGACACGTGGGTGCTCTCGCTTCTCAGCTGCACAGCGTGGCCACGAACATTCTCACACGTGCTTGCGTCTTGAAGTGTGTTTCCAGTTCTTGGGCCCGTCCCAGGAATGGGCAGAATTTCCTTTTTTTTTTTTTTTTTTTTGTGGGACCCTCGCAGGTGGCCGGGGATCGAACTGGCGCAGAGGCTGCGGGCAGCTTCCCAGCTCAGCGCTCAACCGCTGCACCACCAGGGGAGGCCCAATGGGCAGAATTTCAGCTTGGAATCCCATGCTGGTGGCGGCGGGACTAGGAACCGGTTAGACACGTGAGGGTTGTAAAGCAGTGTTACCTCAATAAAGGGAAAAGAAAGACAAATTGGCGACGGGTCTGTATTACTGGCAGGGGTCAGTCTCTGGTGCTGGCAAGTTTTAAAGACAAAACAAGAGGCTGTTTGCACGGAAAGGCCAGGTCAGCTTTCTGCTGCCTTCCCTCCCAGGCCTACAGACGTCTTCATGAAAATTAGGGAAGGTGAAAGGAGACTGGAGGATTTCCTTCTTTTTTCTCTCCTCATTTTCAGTTTTAAAATGTTGCTTTTTTGGGCCTCCCTGGTGGTGCAAGGGGTTAAGACACAACCTCTGAAGCTGTCCGCAGCCTCTGCAGCATGAGTTCGATCCCCGGCCAGCCAGGGAGCAACCCACATGGCACAGCAGACCCCTCCTGACTCACCCGCTGCTCCCCTCAGCAGTGTATTTCAGTCCGTCTGCCCGTTCTGCTCCCTACTCTGTCTCCGGTGAATCCTCTGGTGAATCCCGCATCTCTGGCCTGGGCCCCAGCTCTTGTATACATAAATAAATAAATCTTTTTTGAAAAATGTTGCTTTATTATAAATATCATCAGAATTCAGGACAAGCTGGGCCTCCCCGGTGGCGCAGCAGGTTGAGCGCAGCACTGTGAAGCTGCCCGCAGCCACTGCAGCGTGGGTTCTATTCCTGGCCGGCCAGGGAGAATCCCATATGGCATGGCAGACCTCTCCTGTCTCGCCTGCTGCCCCCCTCAACAGTGCTTTCCGTCCGTCTGCCTGTTCTGTTCCCCACTCTGTCTCTGGTGATTCCTCTCACCCTCCTGTGCCTCTGACTGTACCCCGGTTACCGTATAAATAAAATAAATCTTTAAAGAAAAAAAAAGAATTCAGGACAAGCTTAGCCACAGTATGACCACCTTGCCCAGTCAGCCATTTTGGAGTCTTTGCCCATTTGATCTCAGACCCATCCCAGCCCTCTCTGCTCACCAGGAACTATGTTTCCCAGGCTCCCTTGCATTCCACATCCTGGTAGGTGCTGCCAATTGCGGGCCTGAGGGAAGACTGGAGGGTGGAAGAAGAGAGAAACCCAGCTTTGCCTCCCTTTCTGCTGTGGGGGGAGCACCTGCTCCAGTGCCACCTCTTCTTGGCTGCAGCTCCGCCGCGGCCCAGCTTCCACAGAGCAGTCTGGGCACCACTCACCCCACTTCCTCCCTTTGCTCCTCAGGCTTGAGTGGGTCAGTGTCCTCTGCTGTTGGTAATCCGTGGGTGGTCTGGCCAGCCCTTGTTTGGTTCCTCGGCAATATGGTCACCTGTTGTGATGGCTTCAAACTTGCTTTTGCCCATCTCCCTTCAAAAGGTGGAGTGTAGGGCCTCCCTGGTGGCGCAGGCAGTTGAGCGCAGCGCTGTGAAGCTATCCGCAGCCTCTGCAGTGCTGGTTCAATCCCCGCTGGTCGCAGAGCAACCCACATGGCGAGCAGACTTCTCCTGTCTCGCCTGCTGCTCCTCTCAACAGTGCTGCTCCCCTCAGCAGTGTACTTTGGTCAGTCTGCCTGTTCTGTTCCCCGCACTGTCTCTGGTGAATCCTCTCACCCTCCCACGCATCTGGCCTGTACCCCGGTTCTTATAAAAATAAAATAAATCTCAAAAAAAAAAAAAAAAGGCAGAGCATAATTCTCTTTCCCCTGCATTGGGAGGCAGACTGGCTTGATCACTCACTTCTCACTCAGATAATGTGGCAGATGTGACAGTGACTCCTGATGCGAGGTCATGGATGGCATCTCCCTTGTTCTCTTCACTCACATCCTCTGGAGAAAGCCAGCCGGCCTGTCAAGAGGATGCACAAGCAGCTCTGGGAGAGGCCCACATGGACAGAGCAGGGGGCCCCACCCACAGCCAATTTAGGTGCCGTCCTGGGAGTGGCTGCTCCAGCCCCATTCGAGCCTTCAGATGAGGCAGCCCCTGCCATGTCTGGGCTGCAGCTCATGAGGGACCCAGTTATCCTCACTGCTTAGCCCAGCTGCTCCCGAATTCTGGACCTGAAGAAACCGTAAAATGTAATGATTGTTGTTTTAAGCTGTTAAGTTTTGGGGTAACTTGTTACACAGCAGTACATAACTAATACTCCTGTTTAACCAACTTCCTATATTAAACCTTTTCCGTTGGAAAGACCTGAAGTGGGTTCTCTTCTGACAGATACAAATTCCTGTCCTGAATTATAAACCCAGTGGGGAATAAGACAGAAGAATAAGGAAGATGGGACATTTAAATGGTACCATGATTAACTATAAGCGAATGTTGGAGAATGTGGTTTAGAAAGGTAGGCACGGCTGATTTGCCTACTGACACACAAAATTCAAAGGCTGTTGCCACCCAGCTGCAGGCACTTGGGGGCCTCATGTGCCTGATCAGATCCACCTGTGGTGGGAGGGAACAGATGGGCTGTCTCTCAGAAGGAAAGGGGAATCCTCTAGGCTGAACATGCCCATTCCATCTGCCCCCACTGAGTTATCGAGGAAGGTGTTCCTTCCGCAGGAGGGGTGAGCAATGCTGTGCAAAGACCGCGGGAGGGTTGTCCTAGGAGACCTCGACCTGGCTTAAACCACAAAGGGGTAGATGGTCAGGTCTGGCTGAGTCAGGTGCCCACGTGGTGGCTTCATTCTCAGGCAAGATTTCCCACATGGTGGCAGGATGGGCGACGGCAGCTGTGTCTTATGCTTGTGTCCCAGCAGGCTGGCAACCCAGCGCAAAAGAGCACCTCTTTCCTAACATGTCTCACAAAAGACCAGAACTAGAAGTGGAACATAGCACAGCCCATATTCTGCTGCGGGGTGGGGGTGGGGAGGGGGAGATGGGGAGGAGTGTCAGAACTTGGTCACATGATTGTCCATAGCCCTGAAGGAGGCTGGAAAATGTAGTCCAGCAGTGATTTGTAGGAAGAATTACTGTTTGGGGCTTACAACCAGCCAATATTTACGACAAGGAACATGGCATCACTTATATAGATGATGATGATGCAAGCTGAGTTAACATTTAGCTGATTCACTGGAGTCTTTTTATATTCCTCTGGAAATAGACACGGCTATAGATACCTATTAAATGGTGTTCTGATGTGTGAGTATACAGCCCATGAAAGCCGTGACGTTCTGTTAAAATTGCCCAAGTGATGAAGACATCAGCATTCTTTGACCACAATGTTGGCAACACTTAAACCTGGGATAGTATCAGTGACAGGCGGTGGGGAAACAGGTCTCCCCATATAGTTGGCGGCAGAGGGGGTGGGGTGGAGGGGAACATGTGGGACAGCTTTGGTCTTATCTAGAAAAGTTTTAACCTGCAAATTCCTTCTAGGAATCTTCTATAGAATCCAGGAATATATACCCAAAGGTGCATGTACAGAAAGGTTCATAGCATCAATGTTTATAATAACAAAAACCTTGAGGAGTAAACCAGTGGGGATCTGCTTACACTAACACTGAGTGTGAAAAATACAATATGGCATAGCTCTGAGAGTCACAAGGTGACTATGGAGTTTATCAAAGTTGTTCATTCTCCTCGCAGGACAGCTGGGGTGGCCTGGTAATGGGACAAAATGAAGGTGACATGTCTTCTTATCAATGGGGGAGGTGTCTGCTAACACCTATAAAAATGAAAAGTCTAAATGTCAGGCTGTTCCGGACTATGAAGACTGGGTTGCTGATCCCGCCCAGTGCTGGGCCCTGCGAACCTCGGAGAACAAAGCCTGGAAGTAATTAGTTACAGGCTGACCGGCAATCTCAGAAGAGAATGCTCAGGCATATGGGCGGGGCCATTCTTGATAACAGGACCTGCTGCTGAGGATGTTCCTGGAGAGGGAGGAACAATGCTTAAAGAACATTAAGTGAAAGGAAAAGGATAGTCCTGATTATAAAGACGAAATTGAAGGATTAAAAAAGGTCTTCACAGCAGCTTCTTACGTGGCTGTTTCTGCAGTGTGAGCAAACCTCTTGGTCCCAAACTAAGTTATTGATGTTTGGGGTCTGGTCTGCTCTGTCAGTACCTATTCTGCCCTCTGAATAGGTCTGAAAGAAGACCCTGAGGATTTTCCTCCCTCCTTTCTTGTCCCATGCCACCCAGATGGCCCCTTCTTGTCCCCAGGCCCCCCAAGCCCCCAGCTCTAAACCTTTCCACAGCGGGGCGTGTGTCCCAAGTTGATGTGCCACAAAAATTCACTGTTACCTGAAATTATTGAACTGGCGGGTTGTAACCCGGAGGGTCCTGGGGGCCAGCCTGCTTGAGAGTGACGTCAGCATGGTGCGTGGAGCCGAGGGGCAGAGAACAACAGATCAGGTGACATCCCTGAGACCCACAACCCAGCTGTGTCTGAAGCTGACATACTGGATTTCTTATTTGTGTTTATTGTTTGAGTTTTTCATTTTGAATGGTGGAAGAGTTTTTGTCAAACTCTGGAAAACCAAACAAGAGGCATCACAACTGCAGAGACTTCCCCGGCCTGTTTGGAGATGTTTGTGACAAGTGGGCTCCATGCTATAGATGTCATGAAATAATTTAGATCAATTCTACAGTGGCATGGTGTAAGTCGTTCGACAGTGCCAGAAGAGAGGGTGTGTCTTCATGCACTAGAAGGTACTATCACCTTAACTCTTAGTCCTGTGTTTAACTTATTTGTTTGTTTGTCTATGCATAGAAGAACTGGGGTGTAGGCCAGAGGTACGAGGGATGAGAGGAATTGTTAGGGGGAAATGATGTCCTGAGATAATCCCATACAGGCTTTGTGGACCCCACCCCCACTCCAGACTAAAGCCATCAAGACATTGGGAAAGACAAATCCCATCACTACCAAAGGGAAGGTGGCTGGGACCTGAGGGTGGAGTTGGGCAGCCAGGTTGGATATAAAAACCAAACACGTGGGCCTTGGGCTCTCTGGCGATGGCTCGCCTCCTGGCTTCACGGCTCCTGGCTGGCGGCAGCTCTCAGGGCGCCATTTTGGGATTCCTGATCGGCGGATTGGGTAGGACTCATTTAAAACTTTGTCTCCCACTTTTCTCCCAGAGCAGTACATTTCCTCATTTCCCCTTCCCTTGTAAATAAACCTTTTATGAACCTTTCACGTGTGCCTGCAGTAGAGCATTGATAAGTCCTTTTAAGTGCGCGGGTGAGGACCCACAGTCAGGCACCCCATTTTGTATCGGGGTTGCTCTACAACAGTTTCACTAGAGACAGTGGAGAGCAGAACAGGTGGATTTACTGAAATACACTGCTGAGGGGAGCAGCAGGCAAGAGAAGAGAGGTCTGAGGCGCCACATGGGTCAGCTCCCTGGCCAGGGATTGCACTCAGATGGTAATGGTGATAGCACTGACACTTAACCCCTAGGCCACCAGGGAGGCCCCTGTCTTCCATTTAAAGGATCATACTCAGTTCCTTTCTGGGAGGTCTTCTCTAGCTCACCTAGTAAAGGTGTTTACTCCTCAGGCTTCTCAGAGCCTCCCCCTCTCCACAGACAGAGTGAGCTGCTCTCATGCTGGGTTTTGGTAAAATGTGATTTTAGCATAGTCTTTGTGATTCTAGCATTGTCTTTATCTTGTATAATTTTATTTGGGCATTGTTCAGATGTGATTTGTACACCATACAATTTACACATTTAAAGTGTACAATTCAGTGGTTTCCGTGACACTGACAGCATTGTGC